CCTACCTTGTAGAAGCCAGTGAAAAACATTGACTCGACCCCTATTCATGTGCTCATGCCCATCTCTCTTTTTGCATTGCCCTTTTCCAAATTCTTCTCCCTCTTCACAATTCAGCTTCAAGTTGCACTTGTCCTGATCGTCCAATCTGAGGCAACATTTTGCCCTCTATGTGGCAACAGCACACAGTGCCTGCATCATTCACCTAGCTCCCACATACTCCAGTACATGTTTCAGTACATGTTCTCGTTCTTTCTCTCCAGTCTGTAAGCTCTTGGGAGCAGTGCTAAATCCTAAACCCTCAGTATTCCTAGAATATTTAATACAATATCTAGTGCACAGCTAAGCAGCAGAAATTACTTGGGAAATGCAATGTAACCCAACACATTCTAACCAAGAACTTGACACAGGCATCTTTGCACGTGCTACAAGAAAATGCAAAAGTATAGATGGTGATAGGGGCTGATGGAGGGTTCTGAGTAGAAGGTTGATCTGCTATCAATAGTCCAGTTCTGACTTGTATATCTGGTAGTGGTGTGCCAACATGATTTCCTGGCATTGTGCTTTTCATGGGAAGTTCCATTAGCTAAATTTCATTTTTTGTTTGTTTAGACAGATATGGTAGCTGCTACTCATAAATTGCACAGGCCATTTCCACTCTCTTTTACCTACATTCCCATCTCCTAAATGAATTGAGATAAAGATATTTGCATGGATCCCTGCCACTCCCTGAAGGAAGCTGTGGTCTTTTGTAATTAGCTCTCTTTATTGAGCACCTGCTGTGTGCTAAGAGCTCTTCTACTTACTTTGCATACACCCTTCTAACAATCCAGCAAGCTAGACATTACAACCTCTGTCTTAAAAGTCAAGAAACTGAAGCTCAGGGAAGCTAACGCTTTTGCCTTAGGTTGCTTGACTGAGTAGATGGTGGAGCTGCAAGAACTGAGTATAGGTCTCGCCTCGTGCCTTTGCAGCTGCTAAAACCATCTCAGTAGGGCACCCTCTTGCATTGCTCATAGCAGTTGAAGGCTCATTCTGTAAACCCTGCATCACTAGTTTGCCTACTGGGATATTGCGTAACAGCAACTGCTATCCATGGCCCTCACATGCTGTCACAAAGAGCCCTCCACTCTGGGTTTAAAATAACTTGATGCCTTCACCCTCTTGAGTCACAGCTGTCAACCCTTCAGTCTCATCAGCAGCTCGCCCTGCATCAGACATGCCAGATTCCTTTAAACCTTGGAGACCAACCTGGTAGGGGAGCAGTGGGAACCTTAGAAATTCCTTTTGTTTCCATGTCAACACTTCTTACACATTTTTTGTGGATTCTCTGACAGTGTATTTCACTGTCTGGTTGCTGTGTCTGTGCTCAAAACCCACATCCATGGTCCCTCCGGTGATGCTAAGGAGACATATCCTTTGCCATCTCTGTGATTTTAGCAATTTGAAATGCAACTGACTGTATAGACTGATCCCTAGACTGCATTGTCTCTGGTTATTGCAGTCTAAGAGAAATGCTGGATTTTAATCTTGGGTCTGCAAATAACCCAGTGTGTGACCTTGGACAAATCTCCATTTCTCCAAGAAGGGTGAGCCTGAGGCTCTGCAAAAACAGATCCAAGATTGTATGACTAATCACTGTGTTGCCACCACTATGGGAAATTATCTGTCAATTTCAGCTTTCAGGGCTTTCGTAAAATAGTTTGTCACTAGGACTTCTGCCGTCTCCTAGAGAAGTATAGGCATCAGATCAATACATGTCCTTAGAGAACTTTTACTACAATATCTGTACTTTGCTAATGAAGAATTAAAACCCAAAGCTGTGCTTGCCCAAGCTCATGCAAATCCAGGAACAGGTCCCAGAACACAGTTTCCAATTCAGTGAACTTTCTATGTACTATCTCTAGGTCATAATATTAGTATTCGCAAACGAACCCTCCTTCCTTTTTTGGTACATTTTAATTTATTCATTATGGTGTAGTCACTCAGCAAAGGTGGGTGGTTAGTCTTTTTTTTCAGAAACACTTTCTCTAGTTGAGAATACAATTGATCAAAAAACATCCACAATTTCAGGCATTTGTAGAAAAGTGCCTTGTTCAAAGTCATCAGGCAAATGAGGAACAGAGCCAGCCCAGAACTGGAGAGCTCCAGAGAGACACCAGGAAGATAATGGATTGTGACAGGCTGACCAGACAGGCCTTCTGGCTTCCTAAAGTCCAGATGGACACCCCACACTGTCAAATTGATTGATTGAAGCCCCAGTGTTAGGAAGTCACGAATCCCCAGCACATGGATAGAGCTGCACGTTTGTTTCTAGGGGGCTGTAGGTCAGAACATAACCTTCACCCTTGCAAGAACAGCCAGAGTAGCCACCAGCCAAAGCAACGAAAACAGGACCCTAATGAGCAAGCTTTGTGACCACTGGGATATAAGCAAAGAAAATGGAGGCAGACAGAGAGGAGAGGTTGGATTTGTTTTTCGTTGGTTTTTTTGGCTGTCTCTTAAACAAATCTGACCCTAGGTATAAGTTTGCCCTTTGCTAGTCCCAACTTCCCTGAATATAAAACACATATTTGGCAACTGCCCCAAAAGTTATTAAAGTTGCAGCAGTAAACTATGGGAGGCCAGAGAATTTCAGACAAAAGTTATTGCATCAGTAACTCAGAAACTAATTCCTAAAACTCTTGACACATTCATCCAGAGGGCCGGTGCCAACATAGAAGTGGAAATCATTGTCCAGGGCCACTGTGTACCTGGAATTAAAATCCCTCATTCCTCAGCGCACAGAGCCACGGTGTTGGCAGAATATGAATGCTCATGCCTTTCACCACTATCCTCCCTCCGAAATAGGATGCTTTATTTTTCAGAAGAAACAGAAAGATCCTACTCTCTCTGTTGTTGTTGTTGTTGTTTCCCTTAAGAAGCCCTCATTTGCATTTCCTTTCCAAATATTTCTTTCTTTGACAGACTCTCATTTAAACCAAAAGGCCTCCTTTTCCTTATTCAATTGCCCCAGTTTTATTTTGGACAGAAATCCTGCTGGGTACAGTAACAGAACAAACTTTACAGCAGCAATAATCCCTGCCACAGCATCTATTGTGAGGGAATGTAATACACTTTTATTAAATGGCTGAGGAATTGGCTCCAGTGATCTGGATTAACTACAGAAGAGCATAGGTAGGGAATAAAACTAAGCCCTTCATTCAGTAGACACCGACTGCATGCCCAAGCCACATGCCAGGGACCAGAGATACAAAACAGGAGCACCCTCTTGAAAAAGGTTGTTGACTGCCTTTAGCAGCGCCTTCTGCTCCAAAAGTTAGCAAAGACAGAAAAGATTTAATGGGATCCAGCACAAGCAAACATAGAAATGCTGTCCCTGACTCACTGTGGAAGGATGAGCGCTGTGTCACAGAGTTTTAGATATACAAGTACATTGGCTTGGAGTCTAAGAATTTGACTCAAAGCAGCATTGACTCAAGTCTATGGAGTTTTTCTTTCAGCATGATAATGATACTGAGAAAAATCAGAAGTAATGCAGAAATTGTTAAAATTCTAGTGTTGAAATGACCTTGCAATCTGTGTTCAAGGCCTGGTGACATGCCACTGGGCACGTGCCATCACAGAGCAGCACATTTACTCTGCCCTCATGTGTGTAAGTGACAGCTGAAAGGTATCCCCACTCATTATCACTGAACAGTGGTGTTCTGGTGCAAGTGCCGGCTACTCAGGTCCCCATCCAGCTCCTGGGAGGCAGCAGATGATGGCTCAAGGCCCCGCCACCCAAGTGAGAAACACAAATGGAGTTCCAGGCTCCTGGCTTCAGCCTAGCCTAGCCCCAGCTGTTGCAGCCATTTGAGTAGTAAACCAGCAGATGGAAGATCTCCCTCTAATAAAATGAAAATTTTACAAAATTTTAAAAAGAGAGAAAACAGGTGAAAAAGACTCATGGATACCAACAAAGAGATAAACCAAAACCAAAAAAAAAGAAAGAAAGCTAATTTTTATCTAAATGTTTTATCACTTACAATGTCATATGCAAGCACAACCTAGAAATAAGAAAATGTAGAATATTATGATGGTTTCAGGGTGTTATCTGTAAATCAAAACTAACCAACATATATATACTTTAATTAATCCAATGATAAGTTTTAGTACATGCAACTTATCGTATATTCATTATACTTCAATTAAATTGGGCTTAAAAGGAAAGAAAATATGAAATAGTCCAGGTAATTTCCATTCTACACACACACACACACACACACACATACACACACATCTGAATCAATGTTGGAAAGTAAATTTGATGTTCCAATCAATGACAGGAGGCTATTCCAAGAGGTTAATAGCATGAGCAAGGTGTAAAAATGTTCATTTAGCTTATTCTCTGGTCTCTCACAGTGTCAGTGTCCCTGAGTATAGATGGACACAGAGCTCACCATTTGACCTGCTTCCATCGTCTTCTGTTTGCACTTTTTTTGCAAAGTCCACGTCAATCTTAGGTACCTTTTACCCCAAAATGCATGCTTCAGTGCACTTTAATTTTCCTGAAGTAAATAAATAGCTCTTGCTAGTTTCCCTGAAGTAACTCTGTAGCAAGCCAGAGGGTTCTGAGACTTTGATATCAGATAAAATTCCAAAACCAAGCATTCTTTCCAGAAGTAATTATAAATAGACTGATAAATGTTTTTGAAGACTTTTCCTGGATTCTGCTTCCAACTTTTCTCACATATTGATATTCATATCCTATGAATACTAGCTAGTGAAATGGTCCAAAGATCTGCAGTTGCCTCAAAGAAAGAAATAAAGAGAAAAAGGGAATGCCCGTGGCCAGAGTGGGTTTGAGAATTGACTCTGAGTCTGCTGAGAAAAAGGGAACAGTGTTTGCCTCTTGCTCAGGACACTCCTGGTGCCCGGAAAGAAGGGAGCCCTGGAGTCAGTGCAGGTCGTGACCCTCTGTGCAGCAATTCTCACCACTGTTTTTCTGTGCTTTCCACCAGGTGGACAGTGCTGCAGGGAAGAATTGGGCGCCCAGAGAACCCATTCCGAGTGGCCCTGGAATACATCTCCAGTGGGAACCGAAGCTTGTCTGCGGTGGACTTCTTTGCCCTGAAGAACTGCAGTGAAGGTATCTGAATCCGGCTTTGCCTGCTCCCTCCCTGGTCACTTGTTGTGTTAGGTGTGTCAACAACCCGCCACCATACTTAGCAAGGAATCTGCAGACTCCTCTAGAAAAGTCTACAGCACTCAGGGCATGATCCAAGATGCTATCAAGAGCTGCCTGGCCCAGGCAATCAAGTTCCAAAGACCCAATGTAAAACTGCATCTACTTAACAATACAGTCATATCTAACTATATCTACTTAACAAAACTTTGTCAAATAGGAGATGGTCTTTGTGAGAAAACATATTGACTTAGCTTTCCTGGCTGTTAAATGCTTTAAGCTATTTTTTTAAAAAAATATATTTATTGAAAATTTCAAGTTCATACTAAGCAAATAGAATAAGAGAATGAAACCCTATGTGCCTTTATCCCAACTTAGTAATTGTCAGTATTCCACCATTTCGGTTCATCCACTCCTCACCCTCCTCCCAAGTTGATGGTGATCATTGCTTAACTTTTTTTTCCCTGAGGTACAATTTTCAGGTAAGTACTTTTACTGATTTTATTTAGGTTATTGTTTAGGGATAACATAGGTAATAGTTATATATAAAATTTTTATTTTATTTTGTAAAATCCTTTAGGGTATAGTTCCTTTTGCAGAAAGTCCCACATTATAAATTTATTTTTAGTATTTATTGTCACAAAAATTATATCTCCCTATCTCTCCTGGAGAACAAAGTTATTTTCCTTTTTGCCTTTGCTGCTAGGAAATTCTGAATTAAACACAGTACTCCATCATAATAATTATGTCTGTGCTGATTTTTGATAGGCTTTCCCCCTCCTTCCAAACTTTGCCTTAAATCTGATTGCTGTGAAGATGAAGTTATCCTCAACAGATTTGTGAGGTTGGGGTAGGTGTTTGATGCAGCAGTTAAGATGTCACACTTAAGATGCTACTGGGGCCTGCGCTGCAGCTCACTTGCCTAATCCTCCGCCTGTGGCGCTGGCACCCCAGGGTTCTAGTCCTGGCTGGGGCTCTGGATTCTGTCCCGGTTGCTCCCCTTCCAGTCCAGCTCTCTGCTGTGGTCCTGGAGTGCAGTGGAGGATGGCCCAAGTGCTTGGGCCCTGCACCTGCATGGGAGACCAGGAGAAGCACCTGGCTCCTGGCTTTGGATCAGTGCAGCGCTGGCCGTGGCGGCCATTTGGGGGGTGAACCAACAGAAAAAGGAAGACCTTTTTCTCTGTCTCTCTCTCTCTCTCACTGTCTAGCTCTGTCAAAAAAAAAAAAAAAAAAAAAAAAAGACGCTACTGGAATGTTCACATCCCATACTGGAGTTCCTAGTTCAAGCCCTTTCTCTGCTTCCTACTCCATCTTCCTACTAATGCACACCCTGCGAGGCAGCAGGTGAGAACGCAGTACCTGGGGCCCTGCCACCCTGCAGGGAACCCAAATTGAGTTCCAGGCTCATGGCTTCAGCCTGGCCCGACCCTGGCCATCAGAGGCTTTGGAGAGGGAACCAAGCAAACTAAATAGACAAATAAATAGACAAAAGTGATTTTTTTTAAATAGATATATGAGGTTGGCCTTTCCTTGATTCTTCAGAAGGCCCAGGATTATAGTTATAAGCATTCTTTATTATTTCTCCAATGGAGAGGGTGTAGAGATGGGTTTGAACTGTACAAAACTTAAGGAAGAAATGTCTTTCATTGCTGCTGTTCTCCTGTTATACCGGACTCTGCACAGAGGCTCACTGGAAAGGGCACTCTTCATCTGTGCATGGATTTTGTGGTCTGAGAGGCCTGTGAATGAAGTGTAGACAGGAAGGAAGCCTGGAGCACTCCTGGACCTAAATTCTCCATTTAGGCTTTCCATGAATGGCCATGAAGGCCCGTGTAACACTAGTCATCTGTTGCATGTAGAGGCCTAATTCTTAACCTTGTGCCTTTTCAAGGTAGCATATGACAGTCACTCCCTCGGGTAGGGAGCTCCAGGGACCACCCAGCTCCTTAGGCTGCTGTGGCTCTTCATGCATTGTTAGCCTTGCAAGAACCTTCCCAAAGTGTGTTTTGTTGTCGTTTTTGTTGTTTTAATCAAAACTGGTTTATGTGTGCGAGAAAAGAAAAATCACCATAATGTGATAGATTGAACTTCAGTTCAAGTTGAAAATGTGGCTAACCTGTGGTTTGAGGCAATGTACAAGAAGCATGTGGTTTGGGAGCAAGCCAGGAGCTTGTACAACTATTTCCACACTCATGAACTGAGAGATTTGTGAATGTCTGTGGACATCATCAATCCTCACAGATGTCAGGGCTCTATGTGCTGTCCAAAAGAGGCCATCTGTTGAGAGGGAACCAGTTAATAGAAGGGAGGGTTCAGTTCCCAGAATTGGCCTCATCTCACTAGAACAACATCAGGAAACAGGAATAAGAGACCAGAAAACACCAGCTATCTGGTCTAGCACTACTACTACAAAATTGTCTTACCTACAAGAATTCTTTGCAGATTCAAGTCAGGGATCTAACTAATGGCACAGATGTTTCCCCCATTACCATGCAGCTCCCCATCTCACCTACAAAATTCTTGTGGCTTTTGCTGCATTTGTAGTGAGTCTGTTGCACATTTTAAGGGCCTGTTTCTTGTCTTGTTCTCTACCCTCAATGAAACCAGTATGGTTGACCTCCTTAACCTTTCTCTGATGATCTAGAAGGTTTCTGTCAGCTGGATACCTTCTTACAAGAGAAAGAAGACAAGTCTCCCACTGAGTCCCTAGGGAAGGTGGCCTGGGGAAATCCACATGGCCTGGCCAGCTTCCTTCAGAGGCTCCAGTTCGAAGACCAGATGGTCTCCGTGGAAAAGCAGATGTCCCTCCGCACCCCTTCTCTTGCTCAGACCACCTGTAGCCACCAAAGAGTGTGGAGGGGTTGGTGGAATGTGTAAGAAAACAACCACAGAAGGACAAATTAACTTCAGAATTTTCTTAAAATTGCCAGCTCTTCCTCTGTGTAAGCCTGCTTTCTGTTGCCATAACAAAAACCCTAAACCTTACAAAGAAAAGTAATTCGTTTACCTTATAGTTTTGAAGGCTAAAAAGACCAGGATCGGGTGACTCTGTTGATTTGGCCTCTGGTAAACACCTCAGCAGATGGCATCACCCTGCCAGAAACAAGTGAGGGAGGAAGCCAGAGACCGGGGAGGGACCAGTCTTGCTCTTTTATAACAGCCCCTCCTTTCAAGAACAAACTCATCCCACAAGACCAGCATTAATCCCTTCCAAGGGCAGCTCCTCCAGGAACCTAATTATCTTCCATGAAGCCCCACCATTTAAAGGTCCCACCACTTCTTAATGCCACCATATTATGGACCAGGCTTCCAACACGTGACTCTCTTGGGACAAATCACATCCAAACCATAGCACCCTCCGATAGCAGAACAAATTCAGGCAACATCAGTTGACATAGGAAAGTTTTAATGCTAGAAAGCATCCTGAAACTACACTTACATATTTAAAGGGAAGGAGTTTCTTTGGTTTTTGTCATTGCTGTTGTTGTAGAAATACTCAAGGTCTATTTTATATAAGTAAATATCTGTGTTTGCTGGGGTCAATGCTATGGTTAGGTTATGAAGGCAAAGATAAAAGGGGGAAGAGGTGATGTCTTTGAATGGTGAACGTGCTAGCTGATGACGTGCTAGCCAGCATTACAGATAGGTCTGTAGGGTACCTGGTCTATTTGTGAGAGCAATTCAGTCCTCTCATGAAAAGACACTTATAGAACATGAGGAAAAACACAACTGGAGAACTCTACAGCTCTTCCTTGGTCCATATGAAGAAAGGCGCCACTTAGTTCATCTGGCGAAGTCTTCTAGAGAATGCTAGAACAATTCTCCCTGCAGAGAGGCAGTATCTATCTGTGAGTGTTATGAGAACTTGCCTCTTGATCTCTTCAAATCCTTACACCTATCACAGTAACACTCAGTAGATGCTCAGTTCATGGGAGCTCATAGCCCCAGTCAAAGCTAATGTTGCTGGATCATTCATTATTTGCAAATACAAGTGTTCACCTGGTTGCATCTGGTACCTCACACAAGCTTTGCAATTCCGCTATAAAGCAGTGACTGTCATCCTCATTTTACAGATGGTAGAACTAAAGCTTACAGAAAATTTCTAAACTCACTGAAGTCGATCAGCTACTGAAAGATGGAACCAAAGTCTGTCCCCAGTTGAGCAGACCACAAACCCAGCGTTTCTGTTGGCCACACTCTACTGCCTCTGGGGAATGTACAGAGACTGGGGTTTTATTTATTATTGAAAACATTAGAATCATCTTTGACTCTTCCTATTCCTCTTCTCCCTACTCCCAAATTCCCAGAACCTTTAAACCTGGACTCATTGCTGCCTGGGAGCCTATCCATTATTGTCTCTAGAATTCGCTTTTTTTTTTTTTTTTTTTTTTTTGACAGGCAGAGTGGACAGTGAGAGAGAGAGACAGAGAGAAAGGTCTTCCTTTGCCATTGGTTCACCCTCCAATGGCCGCCGCGGCCGGCGCACTGCACTAATCCGATGGCAGGAGCCAGGTGCTTCTCCTGGTCTCCCATGGGGTGCAGGGCCCAAGCACTTTGGGCCATCCTCCACTGCACTCTCTGGCCACAGCAGACAGCTGGCCTGGAAGAGGGGCAACCGGGACAGAATCTGGCGCCCCGACCGGGACTAGAACCCGGTGTGCTGGCACCGCAAGGCAGAGGATTAGCCTAGTGAGCTGCGGTGCCAGCCTAGAATTCACTCTTATGCCTTCAGTTTCTTAACCATGTGCCTTATTCTTCTGATATTATTCGTACATGAAGACTTGGACTTTGGCAGCAACCAGCTGGTCTCCCTGACACCATGCCCATCTTATACACATTGCTAGACAAATCTCCCCATATCTCCTTTCCTTATGGCACTTTCTTGAGATGTAACTTCTATCAGTCCTCACATAAGAAGATTATGAAATATGGGGTCTCAGTGGGACTACCTCATTCATTTGCTG